TGTTTGGACTTCATTTGTTTTTCTACTATCATTTTCGAAAAATTCATAAAAACTCGTGCAACTTTTATACTTCATATTTTTTTATAACTCTCAAAACAAAAAAGTTAAAGGGGGGGTCAAAATATAGTGAATCATCCTGTACATCAAAATCCATAAGAAATGATGGGTCTGATCTAAAAACCAAAAAAAAATCTTTTCTCGGCCTGTGATATTAATATTTTTTAATTCCCCAACAATATTCTCTAGCTTTTAATACGAGTACTTATATAGTATCAGAAAAATTTTGTGTTTTTATTCCAAGACCATCCGTTAATAAGAAACCTTTCCGACGATACAGCCTTGACAGTGACCTTCCTTGCCATCGCCTACAGCCGCCATTTTGAATCTAAATCATTTGATAAATCATTTGAAAAAATTGATCATATTACGTGAAAACATGTTGAATAAAGCCTTTTTGTTCCTGACACTATATCGATATTTCCTTGAAAATAAATTAAAGTGGCGTTACTCCTTAAGTGCTATGAAAGTACTCAATATAAAAAAGAGTGTTGAAATGACACTTAAATATACATTAAAACATAATTTTATTTTTTTTTATTAAAATAATTATATTTAGAGGTGATTATTTCTTCCAGTTTCATTTATAATATCGGTGTATTTAATAATTCAATGTTAGCTGTGTTTTTAGCGTGTCTTTTTTTCATTCAATTGTTGGTAAAGGTATTGATCGTTTGTTTGTTTCCCTCGAAGTAAAATTAAATAGAAACATAGGAACGAATATTTAAGAAACACGTCAGCAGAATTTAATTAATAAGTTTGTATGATAGCGTTATATAATATTTATTTTGTCAATATTGGTGAAGGCGCTGGTATAAATTACGTAGATGCAATATTACTAACTAGATGTATATTATACCGATGATATTTCTGTTTGAAGATTTGCGTTGGTAAATGTATTACATTTTTTGACTCAATAGTCAATACGTACAGAGAGCTTCAAACTGAACCTCTTAATTTTATCAACAGAAAATGGAAATAAAAATTTGATGTAGTGACAAATAAAGCTAAATAAATATATTCTTTTTCAGAATTTTATGTCATGACAACTGATTTCCCACGAATATTTTTGACATCGAATACTTTGCAATTTTCTTTACTTTCTTAATTTTAGTTAAGAAAATTGTTTGCTACTTCCATCCGTTTAGAAATCATACAAATATTCTTCGAAAAATAAATACGAAAAGTCACATTAAATGAAAATCCAAATACATATGTAAATGGAAAATTAATAATTAAAATACAGCACAAAATTATAAAATAGGTTCAAGCAACATATAATAACATAATATGTATGTGTGCTGAAAAAAATAAAATACAGGGTGTTTTGAAAGTCCGTCAGGAAACTCCGGGAGATGATTCTACGGATTAAAATAATAGCAGTATGTAATGAAAATTTTTTTCGAATTGTTAATTGTTTCCAAGTTACAGCTTGTCAAAGTTTAATTTTTCTATTTAAATAACTTATTCAATTCAAGTTCGAATTGTCTCTCATTTGCAACACCCATTAAGTAAATGAAGCTCTATTGGACCAGTTAGAGACAACTTATCCGCTGCTAGAGGGCACTTTACCTAGAACTCAAAATTTGTTTTGTTCATAACTTTTTTCTCTTGCTAGACATCACAGAAATGTAAACGGTATTGAAAGGAGAAACAATATCAGAAAAAATTATGTACCCTTTATTCAAGCCGATAAATGTAACCGTTTACCAGGAAATCGCTATCAATGTGTTATACATAAAATTTTTTAACCTCTACTTAAAAAACACCCTAAATAATTCAATGGTAATTGACCGATGTACATTTAATGTATTCATTTCATGAATATTAATTTTTCTACATCTATAATGTCGATTGCCAGAATAATTTCTTAAAACTTATTAGTGTCCTGTTATACGAAAGAGCATTTTAAATTCTGCGAACTATTGCAATTTCAAAACATGCCCCTCTAATACAAGAAAATGATACTATTAAAATAATGTTCTTCGCAGGCGTATTGCTTTCATCTTGTATATTATAAAACAAAATTGCATGAACTTCATTTTAAAATAGAAACTTTTCTAACCCGGATAACTTTATATAAAATTGATCTCTCTTTATAAGAAACTTTAGAAACTGATTATATTAAACAACTTCTAAGAAGAGAAGGAACTTTTTGAAAGATATTTTAACTGCAAATAGTATATTCCTGGTCTTAGTAGAAGTGGGTGTCTTAATTTAGTTGACTAGTTAATATGATTGTAACAAGTAATTATCTCACTCTAAAATTATAGCTCAAGTGAGCTAAGGAATGTAATTAAAAGGTGTAATTAGTAAAGAGCGGATTTTGCTTAAGGTTGTCCTTGTCTATGTACGTCTATATCATTCTATCTATAACCGTGCGTATTTCTTTTTTCTCGGGTACCCAAATACGTTTTAAACTTACACAATTGTTGCGTAAGTGTTAGAATGTACAACTTGTAGAGTAAATCAGAGATATATAAAGTGCAAGGAGATATCAATTAACATACAACACTTTTAGGTTCTGAATTTGCAAGGAATTAACAAGCACATAAGATTCGCTCCGTCGTGTAGTGGGATATTTCGAAACTAAAGATTGTATAAGGGCCACACTATATCTATTAAAACTAGATATTTATTCGGATATATTACATTGAATTTTGAGAAAAGAGGGCAGTCAAAAAGAGAAAGCAAATCTAAAAAACAATTTAAAACAGGATGTTTTAAAAGATTTACTTTTACAATATTCAATGTCTTACATTTTTTTGGACCAGAATTTACATGAAACTTCAACTGATTTTTACAATTTAAGAGTCTGAGCAAGGACAATATTAGATAAGGGTCTTACGAGTTCGGGGTTGATTGCATACCTTACCAAATCAGTAAAAATGATTTTTCGGTTCACACCAAAGCGGAAAATAGGCAGAAAAAAATATTGAACACTATACCCAAACAATACCATTTCCTAAGGATTTCAAACTGCTAACCGATTAGCCAAAAACTCAAAAGATATTAGCACTAAAAATGTTAATGTTACATAACCTACTTCAACCCGTGGTGTGACTAGGTTATATTCACTTTACAGCAAAGAAAAACGTTTGTTAACGAAATCTAAATCAATTTTAACAAAGTTTCTTCTTTTTCCTTTGCTAGTGGTTGGTCTTGAAAGTCTCATGGCATCACGGCCTAATTAGGCCTATTGTGCGTTCCATGACTTGGTCCTATTCAGCAAGTAGTTTTGTCTTTTTAACAAAGTCCAAAAGCTTGACAAAGCTAATAAATAAACAGAAGCAATTAAACATTTAGCTAGCATGAGTTTTTTTTTAGAAGCATTTGCAATCATAGACCCCTGGGATCAAAATAAGACCATTCTATACAGACTGTAACAGTGCAACTCGTCAAAATTGACGGAGCATTTTATTAAAATTTTTAAATATTTTTTATAGAAATGTTTGTCCTTAGAGTCTCCGTTTTTGAGATACAGGGTGTCATATTTCGAAAAAAGGTTATTAATCAAAATATTGTTAATAAAATGGCAATTGACGTGAAATACTTAAGCTTCAGTTCAAATCAGTGGCGTAGATACGACTGTGTCCAAAATTTCCCTAAAATTTAAGGCACGCCAATGGAAATATTTTTTAAATATTTTTCATTTGCAGATTTTACGAAAATCAAGTAAATAAATTCTTAACTATTTCATAACTTTTAATTTAAAGTAGAAATGATTATTAAAAGTGAACAATTAAACCAACAAGTTTTTCTATTTACTGCAAAAAGCGAGACAGAAAACAATTGATAAATATGTATTATTAAATGTAACCACCATTTTTGCAATTTCAGTTATTTTATTCATTGAAATTGCTTATTATCTGACTTCTACTCTTCTTAATATGAAATTCTTTTTCAAATTTTTACCTCTTATGAAATGTACAACAGTATAACAGATGCTTTTAAAAAAGTATATATTTTATTATTATCGCATTTTTTTTACTCCATTTTAAAGTAAGCTAATTCAAATAAATTCAAAAAAGAATAAATAAGGGTGTTCAAGAATTTCTATAATTGGAGCATAAAAATAATAAAACATATTTGTCAGCATAGTTACCAAATTTTTTTATTAAAAAATGTAAAATATATTGTCGTTGGCGTACGATAGCAGACAAAGATGAGATACCTAAAAAATAGTAATAAGTCACTTTCTTACGTTATTCAAGAAATATTTTAGTAAAACAAATAACTAAAACGGTTTTAGAATGATATTAAAAAATATTATTTTACTGGGATCACATTTTACATTTCGTGGGCTACCTATATCTGCATAGGCCTTGATTTTTGTCTACATGATAAGTTAAGTGGTTGCAAATTTCCTTTTTTGTCCATTCTAGTGCATTTTGTCTTGATTTGCCATAACTTAAAACAATGTCCATCATGCATTGCTATAGACTTAGAATTTTTTGAACTCTTGTAAGCCAGATGTAAACAATAAGTCACGGTAATAAAAACTATGCAAATCACAGTAATACCGAATATGTAGACATTTATAAAACCAAATCGGTTGAATCTATTTGAAGTAATATATGAAAAAAATTAAGATGTTTTCCCGAAATCTGTAAAGATTTTATCAAAACCTTTTGAGGATATCTATTTTATTTTTAGTGACCACTTTTTTTTTTTTGGATAAGTTCTGAATCGACTCCAATTCATAACTACGTTTTTGATATGATTGAAAGTAGTTGATAAATGATCCGAAAGAAAACTTTCACGAAACGAAAACGACCTCTTGTTGTTAATCCAGCTAGAAGTAATAACCATCCAAAATATCTAAAAAAATATCCCCGAGCATCCAATATATACGGCCAGTAGGCTGACAAAGCATCCTTCATCCTTATTCAGCTGCACACAAATATAAATCCGAAATCTAATCTTATATATCTTCCTTTCAGCTGAACACTGAGTGGGCCCAAGTAGAAGTAATAGATCTAATAAACGACGGTTCTGGCCTGGCGTTCGGCATCATAGGAGGCCGGAGCACGGGCGTCGTGGTGAAGACTATCCTGCCAGGCGGCGTCGCGGACAGAGTAAGTATATTTGTGGTCATCCATATATTCATCCATATATTCATCCATATATTCATCCTAGAACAGAAACAAGTTAATTTCAAGGTTACTAGTCTTATCTAACAATATTATACTGATAATATCTGCGGCTTAAGTGCAAGTTTGTCGCTCGTGAGAATATATAGACCGATAAACGACCACCGAGCGTTAAAATGTACTTTAAAGTCTTAAGTGTAAGTTTATCGCCCATGGAATCTATTGTAGACCGATAAACTACCATCAGATATTGTAGAGACCCTTTTGACAAGTTTTCCACTTTCAATACAGGTTTATCGACCGTGAGATCTATTATAGACCATTGGGCGTTAAAATTTAATTTGTGATAAGTTTTGGGAACCGTAAGTGCATCCCACTCGCGTGGGATCTATTGCAGACCGACAAACTACAACTGAAGTTAACACGTGCTTTATTACAACTTACCACGGCTTAAGTGTAAGTTTATGGATCGTGAAATATATTATAGGCTGATAAACCTACTAAGCGTTAAAATGTGCTTTAAGTTTTTCTAACTTCAAATTCAGCTTGATCTATTATAAACTGATAAACCAGACGTTAAAGTGTATTTTATGATAAGTTTTCCTAAAGTTAAATTCAGATTTATCGTCTCTTGGGGTTTATTATTAACTGATAATTATTATCGGGCGTTAAAATGAACTTTATGATAAGTTTTCGATGCATTAAGTAGGTGCTTATTTGTCGCCGCAGGTTTTTCTTAGAGACCGACAAACTGCCATTGCATTAAAATGTACTTTATGATAGATTTTCTAGATATTAATTGAGGATTCTTTTTATAACAGGGCCATAAGTTAACTTTAGCCTCTGGGGTTTATTACTAACCGATAATTATTATCTGGCGTTAAAGTGAACTTTATCAAAATGTACTTTATGATAGATTTTCTAGACGTTAAGTGCGGGTTTATCATTAAGTGTTCTTTGTAGACCAGGGCGAAATTAACTTTAGATATAAATGTTGTTGTCCTTTGCTTGAGGTAATACCACTTTGCTTAATTAAAACGATAATGCAACATTTTTCGTCAAATTGACTTGAAAACGATTCTAATTTTGTGACTAACTAATTATAACATTACGAAATGAAAGTTACAAATTTTTAAAACAATAGTTGGTCATTTATGTATCTTCTATAAGTATCCTGTTAAAATGACCACAAATAATGAGGTATTCAAAGAACATATCTAGCTGTAATTAATCTTATTGGTGATATCTGAAAGTCCTGAAGAAGATTTAAAACTAAATCGAAACGCCAACTTAATATAAAAAAAGGCTAATGCCGTTCTATCGTATGAACCTATACCCAAACAAATAATTACATATATAAAATGTAAACGATGTATAACATTGAAACAAAAATTTTAAATATATTTTAACAATATGTCGGCTGAGTTTATCTGTTGGTAAAGCATCTGCCCTAATTTTATGGTGAACAAAATTCAACTATCTGGATTTAAACGAAAATATAAGATCACTTATTTAAAACCGGTTTCTTGAAATAAGGGACCATTAGTACTCACTGCAATGGTGATTTTGTCTCTCTTTCACAGTATACAATTTTTTTATGGGGGTCATATTGATTTTCTGAAAAAATATGCGACTCCAGCGATATGTTTCACTTTTATAAAGATTCGTTTTCAGCGGTCACAATATATTTTGATATTTTTTCCATTTTAGCTCATAATATACTGAACAAGAATACAATTTAAAAGCAACACAATTTTTTTTTTAATAAATTTATAGATGTAAATGGGCATTTTTTTTTACATTTTTTAGAAATCAAGTAATAATAATAGTTGTGGCAAACTTACTGGGTGCATCTTACTATTTCTTTAAAATAAATAATGACGCCAATGTTTTAATGACAATATTCCACATTTTCGAATATTTTAATCTCATTAAAACTCTCCTTAAAACTGAAATACCCTGTATATGTACGTAGATTTTTAGCTATATACAGGGTGATTCACAACTTATCCAAAAAAATTTGGGAATAGATGCGGCAAGAGAAATGGAGTCAATATTGTAAAAAAAAATTTGTAAAATCCTTACTTATAATTCTGAGAAAAAAAAGTATTGAAGTTATAGCATATTAAACCACTACACAGCTGGACAACTGTAGTCTCTAGCATCATTCGCCACGTGGCCTCATTGACTCCGAATACTGAATTCGGATTTTGCAATCGTCGTTGCGTATTTACCTGTTATCTGTGGTTTTTATAATACGTTTTTAGTAGTTGGTGTCAAAAATGGGTAGTTAGTGTCAAAAATGGTTTGCGTGTACTCGGAGTTGATGGATATCGTTTTAATTTATGGTGAAGCGTTTGTGTTATGGTGAAACAAGACATCATTTGTGTTAGTTCGTAGAAAGTGAGTAAGACGGACCCAAATGTGTTTACACGTGAGTGGATAAAATTTTGAACAATTGCTGTTGCAGCATCGGGTATGTCAAATGATTTTATTATTTAAAAACACAAATTAATTTTATTAATAATTAATAAAGACAAAAGCATTTGAATTTGCCGATATAAAATAGGTGCGATAAAATTCTATTTACATATTTCTTTCCTTGCGAAAGTTTTTGTCCGTTTTTATCACGCCGCCATAC